ATATATATATATATATATACACGCGCGCGTTACGTAATGGTATAATTAACCTTTTTATCATAATTAATTTACAGTTGGATTTTTGTGGAACCGACTATGAAAGAGATATTTGAATATGAAGATAACGCAATGGTACAAGAAGATACTGCACATTCTTGGTACCGAAAATCACGTAATCATGAGCCGGAAGAACAAGTTACAAGAGAGTAAGCATTATGCTAATAAGATGTCAATAAGACTATATAGCTGACCAACAGAGATTGAGACAACAGAGATTAAGCTGACATTATATAATTGAAAATTTTTTACAGTTATAAAAAGTCCTTTGATAAATGTATTAGATTTGGCAAATCGCCAAAGAGCCAGGGATTGGAATCTCGAGTTAGAAGAATTTTGACGTGGATTAATCACGAACCAGTTACCTTAGTCAACGGTCGACAAGCGGATTTCTTACAACGCACTAGATCGTTTGTCGGACAAATCAAGTAATATCAGCAATGAATCAACAATTGTTAATCTTACGATAATTGTACAATTTATAATAGTATGACAAAAAGAGAGATGACAAAAATCTCTTATGTAACAAATCCTTTTCATCATGTGAACATATAGATAAATACAAATGTGTTAATTGTTACAAAGTTTAAATACAATAGTTTTAACTTTTACTATTTTTTTATAATTGTATCTCTATTCTTATGTTATTACTATAATTTGACATTTATATTATTCTTAATTTAACACATAGATTTAATTTACATAGATTTTGTCAACCCGTAAAACGTCGAAACTTAAACTTTAAATAATTTTAATAAACTATATCAATACAGAATATAATTTTAATAAACTATATCAATACAGAATACAGAATATGATTTTTCTTCTTTTTTTTTATACTAGCTACGTAAGTAATAGACTTGAATTAATTAATAGTAAAAATGATAAATTTTTTTGTGAAGAATAACTACCAATTTGTAATTCAAGAGATCCAGAAACATCGCGTCTTCATGTAGATACCATACACATTAGGAAGAGTGTCAAAGATGAATTAAATGTATCAGACAAACAAGTGCTTTTCTGGTGGCAATGTTTGCAAGATTTAAACAATTTCCGTCAAAAACTCAAAAAGCGTATTCAGGAAGTGCCGTTCTTAGACATAGAGGATGAGTTTTCTTGTCTAGACAAAGTACACATGTCTCTATATTTGTATTTGTTATAACAAAAATTCATATTAATTTATTATAAATTCGCAATGGGATACGAGGTAAATCGTTAATCAAATTAACCAAAATTATACGATTACATTTCGTCACAAATCACATTCTTATAATCGTAGAATTTTAATACAGGAATACGTCGGAACTCTACCTGAAGATAAGGTTTTTCTGATTTTCGAGAAGTATCGCATATATCCAAATAAGAAGTTTCTTGTACCATTAATGGACACGTTGCAATTGCGCACAGATGGAAATATTAATTACAGAGAAATACTAAATCTCTTGAATTGGAAGCGCAGTTTACCCGTTCTACCAATAATTAAACGTGATTAATCAATAATTTTTGTAATATTCTAAATTCTCAAAATTGAATTAGAGAAATGATAAATGATACATCTTTGTATGATAATTAATAACAATAACTAATTTTAATCTAGTATGGTAATTTCAAACGTATTTCAGTTCTGATTTTAATTTTTAATTTAACTTATAGTAACACAGCAATGATATTAAAAAATATTATTTTAGAAGCACCAGTGACAAGTCTAGATTGTACTACGTATAATGACAGCATAAAAAATATTCAGACAACTGATAGCGCAAGTAGGGTTTATTTTTTATATCTCTCGATCTTAAAAGTATTTCTCTCAAAGTGATTATTTGAAATATGAAATATAAGAAATATTATAGAAGTACGTGCGGCAGGACTTCCATCTGAAAGATCAGATTTTCTGATAACAATGTTACCGCGCGTTGGATTACATCCAGATAAGGAGAACTTGGGCGATCAAACCTCCACCCATTGCTTGATATCGCCTAGCATATTTATGAGATACGGTTTGACACATATAGATTTTTTTAAGGTGGATTGCTTGATTTCGTATTATCTAGTTATTCCATTGTTTAAATATTTTTACTCTTAATTCGGTATAAATTGTATCAAATTACAAAATCTGATGATTTTGTCTCATCCAAAAATTTGCCAAAATTTCCTAACTATAAATATTAATTTATATATTATTTTATCTAATTATTCCATTGTATCTTATACCATTCTATTATGAAAATATTAATTTATATTTACAAAATGTTATATAGATGCGTGACAAGGAAGAAATACGAAGCATATTCAAGAACGTCGGTTTCAAATTTTCAGAGGAGAACTTTGATACACTTTGGCAGAAAGGAATGCGGAAGGATTGCACCGACGGTATGTGCGTTGAAACATTTCGAGAGTTACTTGCCGCGTCAGGTTTCGTGGCAAAGAAAATTACATGTGACTAAATGCATACAAACTTTTCATCTTGAAAAATCTATATATATGAAGAGACATAAAGAAAAATATAAATTATGTATTTTAAGTGTGATAATTACTAATTAAATATTATTGAAAATAACAGCTATACAATCATATTAAAAAAAAAAGTAATATGATCATTTAATAATAATCAGTTTAAGTTTTATCAGATAAAAATTTATGCGTGTATCAAATATACAAACTGTACAACATATTTATTTACTTAATACAAACTGTACAACATATTTATTTACTTAATATAAATAAAATTATATGCATAATTATTATATAATTATTTACAATGCAAATTCATTCTATAGGTTTTAAAAATTTCGGTTTTTTACTTAATGGTTCGTCTTCATTGTTTGTTTTTATATGTTTCGTCTTTCTGTATCTGTTTGTAGTATCAAATTTTGCTCGCATTTTCGTCCATTGAACAGCCATTTGTTCATCAGATATATCGGCCTCTTGTTTTACATCTTTGTTGGCTCGTTTAGCATTCTTCTTTGCTTCCATTAATTTTTCTATATTTGGATTCATCCCTTGAAAGCTTAATCTACCGTTGTTAAGTTTCTCGCAGAAAACATAGCTCGATTCCATAAGAAATTTTCCACTTAAACATAAAAGATATACATAGAAGCAATTGATATCACAGCAATATTTTCACCAGGAAAAAATGTGAGTCTTAAATATACATATTTCAAAATACAAAATATTCAAAAATTCATATTATTATTTTAATTTACATAATTATTAATCCAGATATAAGGCTAGTAGGAAAAAATAATAGAAAGTACTTACGATGCTTTTTTCATACGTGATGTAAGCTCACTGCCGAAGTATTCCTCTCCTTCTTCTTGAAACTGTTCTTTCTCCACTTTGTCTTTTGTACGTTTCATGAACTGCGAACAAATCCACTTATTATCGTGCCACAATCGAGCGAACAAACTGACGTTATTTATTGTCATTTTGACGTCAAAGTAACAACAAATAACGTGAAATAACATTGCTTATTTGCTGGAAATATCTATTTTCTACAAACTTTTCCAACTCACCTTCATTTCCAGTATACTCTTTGACAGAGTGATTTTCTTTGAATTCATGTTTATGTTTAACGATTATAATATCACGGACACGGAAAATAATAGTAATTATTTTCCGTGAGACAGTCAAAAGATGAAAAACTGACAATTCCCCTCAAAGAATAGTCAAAATTATGAAGAATTTCTTTAAGAGATCACGCACGTGTCAATAACAAATACCATATATATAAACCACCACTTATACTATAAACAAGGCAAACCTAACTTTTCTTACAGTAGCGACTTTGACGGCAATCTGCATCACTAACATAACAGCTTTGAAGAATTCTATATTACCAACCTTACTTAATTGTTATCATAAATTTTATTTATCATATGAGTGTCGTCGACACGGCAATAATTTTCTTTACCTACCTAGATAACCAAGCTTGCGATATGCATGCTGGCATGTGATGGTTAAAGCGGGGAGCACAGACTCTTGCATAACACATAACACACGAGGCATAAGAAATTGAACCAACCAGAGTTCTCTATTACATGGAAGGAAAAGAAACGGAGAACTTCGATTGGTACATATTCTTATGCATTACGTGTTATGCGTTATGCAAGAGTCTGTGTTCCCCGCTTAAGCGGGGAGCACAGACTCTTGCATAATGCATAACACGTAATGCATAAGAATATGTACCAATCGAAGTTCTCCGTTTCTTTTCCTTCCATGTAATAGAGAACTCTGGTTGGTTCAATTTCTTATGCCTCATGTGTCATGCGTTAAGCAAGAATCTGTGCTCCCCGCTTTATCTGGGTATAATCGCATGCTTGGTTATCTGGGTATACGGACAGATATATGCATCGACCAAGTTCGGCTTTCCAATCGTTTATTTTCCGAACCGTTCCGAACTGCCACATAACGGTGATTTTTGTTGGTTGGCTGTCCTGGCTGGGGCAGGACGATCAACGGTACAACGGACTGGCGTGCTTTCTGCAAGACTCCACGATTTTCGTCGATGAAATCGCAAAAGATGCGGAGGTTCGCGACGGCTGATCCAAGACACGAGGCACAGTTTGCCGGAGAATGATGTCGTAGCAGCGAGGTCGTGGAAGCGAGGCACGAATAATCGTGGAAAGTGGACATAGCAACGGCAGCAGAAACAGTTTAATCGCTTGTACTAAGGTAAACCCGCGCCCACACGCCAACTCGCGCGCGCGAAATCAATAATAACGACATTACTCCAACGCTATTATTTCATTTCGCCTTAGCTTCGTAAATTGGAAAATTTCAGTAATATCTGTAATAGCCCCCACGCTTCTCAGTATGATCACGAATTCCAATTCTAATTATGTATCGTTTACTCCAATTCACTTCCACTGGCTACATTGTGGGCGTAACAAAACGAGACGACATCTTAGGAATCGTCGACTTTGATAGTATATTATAAAGTTGTTTTTATTTCTTGTTTTTGTACACATACTTTTCAAATCGTGCTTGACACGTGTTGGCCATTAATGTTTTTATTACTGATGACTCACCTGCAACGTCTATGTGGATTTCTCTCTCTTCGATATAGACATAACCTTGTAGAAGTTTTTCATCTTTTTTTTCTGAAGCTAATATTATTGTACTAACTATATTTACATCGAGATCTGATGTAAATATAGCACTTTTCTTAATCAATTTATATACTATAATAACATACCACATGTAGAAACTAAAATATTCCGTTCAAAACTGGTATAATTATTTACAGAATATATGATATTCTATGTACCAGAAAACATTAAACAGCATAAGCTTTAAATAAAAACATTTCAATGTTCTAAATAAATTATTATTTTGTTACTATTTATACTTGACAGACACAGCACTGCGTGCAAAGATGTCGAAACGACCCCCAGATAATGGGGACTCCAGTTCCCAACCACCTATAAAAAAGGTGCAGTTTGAACCGATTCTAATTGGACCCATATCTACTCTCGAAGAGATGGACATGAAAGTTTTACAGTTTCAGAATAAAAAGCTAGCACAGGTATATAAAGTTTACATTGCATTTATACTTTTATTACTTTTAATAAATTGATTTGTAATAGCAAATAAAGATAAGGATTAAACTGTAATAACATGATGTACATAATTGTATATAAAAAAATAATATAACTAAGAAAATAGTTACACAATTCTGTACTGTTGAGTAATTTTATTAAAATTATATTAATTATATATAAAAATATAGCTTATACAGGATGACATTTGCTATTATTGCAGGAAGTTATTGAAACTAAATTGTATTATTTTTTACTAAGAATATACAATAAAATAAACATTAAACTTTTTTGCCGAATAATATTTAATTACTTTTATTTATTCATTACGAAATAAATGATTTAGATTTGATTTCTCAATTGTCATCCTGTACGTACATATTACATACATATTTTTGTATATACTCTAAAATTTAAAAATATACTATTATTAATTTGATATAAATTATACTTTTATACATATATAAATTGTATATAAATTGTTTACATTATTATATAACTTTTAATATGTACCTATTCTTTTTCACATATAATTTACTTATTCCAGAGATTGGAACAAAGGCATAGAATGGAAGCTGAATTGAGACAACGTATTGAACAATTAGAAAAACGCCAAATGCAGGACGATGCAGTACTTAATGTAGTTAATCGATATTGGAATCAACTCAATGAAGATATACGTGTATTATTACAGAGATTCGATGCTGAAACTGCCGATGAATCTGAAAATAAAAGTAAGCTTTGAAAAAAAGGTGCAATGTAACGATATTTTCTGAGATAAATTCAACAAAATGTTTTTCTTTTTAATTATAGACGAGAGTGAGGCTACAACGTCATTTCTAATGCAATTATCTTCCTGGGATAAAGAGGAATTGGATGACAAATTAGCAAACCGTGTACAGGTATCAAAACGAGCTGTGTCTAAAGTTGTACAAGCATTTGATCGTTTATCTCAGAGAAATGAAAAAATCACTCTTGCACTTAAAGGAGAATTTGATGGCGGTAAGTTACATCCAGAATTTGTTTTGAGATTTCAAATTAATGTAATATACTTGAATAAATTGACATATATCTTGTTTTGATTTGCGGTAAGATTCAAATTTTTCCACAAAATCTCTAAAGAACTTTATGGATATATATAACTTGCAAAAAATCGTACATTTTTATAATTGAAGATTATAAATCGTATTATATAGAAGAGGCGCCGAACATTGACGAAGTCGTACGTCGTGCCAATGCGGAAATACAAATGGAAAACAGAAATCTGCAGGCGATAAATATACAATTGCATGAAAAGTACCACACTATCTCATTGAAGGTAATTGATTTTTTATTTTATTTATATTTAATTTTCTACTTTTTATGTTATCGATTATATACGTAAAGCTGTTATTTGTCATAAATAAATTACAAGTAACTTGAAATAAAGAAAAGGGAGATTATTATGAATATTTTTAAACATCAAAAAATTATTATTAGACATAAAAGCCCGTCTACAATACACGGAGTAAGAAGTAAGAGTAAGAAATTGACCAATCACAGTCGAATGTGAGAAGAATAATCGACTGTGATTGGTCAATTTCTCACTCTTCTTACTCCGTGTATTGTAGATGACGCCTAAGATTTTGCTTGTGTGTGTGTGTGTGTGTGTGTGTGTGTGTGCGCGCGCGCGCGCGTGTGTGTGTGTGTGTGTGTGTGTGTGTGTGTGTTGTGTGTTGGCAGGGTGTTTACTATCTAGAAAAACCTGGAATAGAATTTTTAGGAGATTTTTTATTCTTAAATATCAGGAATTTTTATGGAATTTGTCGATACAGACGGATATTTTTGGAATTTTACTTATTCTATCTCTTTCCGATAACATTGTTTCTTTTTAACTATTTTATTCGGTAATGTATAATGTTGTAATAATCGGGCTTAGCAATACGTATGGCATACACATCTAACATAA